ACTGTAGTCATAAAGAGATGGACATGGTCAGCAACAGGTAGGCCATGGCGTTTAATTGATGCTCAATTGGTACTAAGGGGCCCAAAGTGTGCCAAGAAAATATGCCCCGCACCATTACACCTTCACTACCACCACCACCAGCCTGAACCATTGATGCAAGGCAGGATGGATCCATGCTTTCATGTTTATACCAAATTCTGATCCGACCATCTGAATATCACAGCTGAAATCGGGATTCCTTAGACCAGGCAATGTTTTTCCAATCTTCTATTGCCCAATTTTCGTGAGCCTGTGCGAATTGTAGCCTCCGTTTCCTGTTCTTAGCTGACAGGAGTGGCACCCGTCTTCTGCTGCTGTAGCCGATCTGCTTCAAGGTTCGACGTGTTGTGCGTTCAGAGATGGTATTCTGCAGACCTTTGTTGTAACGAGTGGTTATTCGAGTTGCTGGTGCCTTTATATCATCTCTGTAAACCCTAAATATGGTTGTGCGTGAAAATCCCAGTAGATTAGCAGTTTTTTTAAATACTCAGACCAGCCCATTAGGCACCAACAACCATGCCACGTTCAAAGTCACTTAAATCCCCCATTCTGATGCTCGGTTTGAACTTCAGCAACCGTCTTCACCGTGTCTAGATGCCTAAATGCATTGATTGGCTGATTTAACAATCTGTGTTACCAAGCAATTGAACAGGTGTACCTAATAAAATAAAGTGCGTGTGCGTGTGTTTGTGTGTGTGTGTGTGTGTGTGCGCGCGTGTGTGCGTGCTTAGGGAAAGGGTTGTTTTTGGCCTATAGCTGGCAGGTAATATTTTTAATTGAGATATTTGCAACCCACTGGCTTAATTTTTGCACCTGATGAGTCCGAGTTTTTTTGACTCTGTAAATGTTCATTACACGAAACCTGCAAAATAAATGTTTAGTATCAATAGTAATTAGGGAATATTTTGGTTAACTTAATTATAGCAGCAGACATCTTTGAGGACATTTCTAAAAACTGAAGCAGATGCTCATGGCAACCTATCAAATTTTCTCTTTTAATTTTAAACCTTAATTGAACAAACTGAAAAGAGAAGCCGATTGGTTGCCACAGGCAACTACTCCGGATTCTGTCTGCTCCAGTTTTTATAAATTCTCCCCTTTGTGTTCTGAGAGAAGTGTTAAAACAAACTGTGGACTATGTTTTCATTTTAGCATCCTATTTGGCTGCTTTCCAGATTTTGATGTGTGTTCTGTATAATCTGCTGAACACGATCACAGTGTCCTTGGGTCACGTACATCCTTGGTCTACACATTTGTGAGGGTTGAAGGTTGTTGGCTTCAGTAGATTCCCGGTCATTAACTGAACACTAATTCTTATGATGTACCTTTAAAAACTGATTTAGCAGCCTAATTATGTTTAGTTTGTGTTGCAGCTTTGGAAAGGTTGTATCTGCATGACTGGCTTATGATTGGTCATGTAACCTGGATCCTGGCCATGAACCTGTATCCTAGCCATGAATAAACTTAATTTAGTCTGTTATTCATCTGACTAGACAAAATAACCTGATTCTCCTGATACACGGCTTGGCACATGGAATGTTATGTTTGCAAATGAACTTGCCCCATGCGATTTTTTCTTTTTTTATGCATTGTCTGCTAGCTTTATATTTTACTTTGAAAAATGAAACGAAAGAATGCTATGTACAGTGATATAATGATTCATGCTATTCCAAGTCAGTCTTGTGAGTTTTATAGGCGCAGGGGCCTGTTTTTGCAGTGGAAGGGGACACCGTAACTGCTTGAGTTTACATAATTCTGTTTTCTTTTAACACAAATATTCTGTGTTTTATACAGATTATATGTGAGAGATTAGTGAATGTTCTCCACCTAGACCAAGCTTGGGTACATGTCTTTTTATACACTATTCCAGTAATGCCCTCCATCTTGAAGTCCTAATTATTTCCATTTTAACAGAAACAAGGGAGCAATGTTGCTAAATGCACAATAGCACCATATTACACAACAGAGGCCAGCCACATAATACTAGAATGGTGTTGTGTTCTGAGTGCAATACCTTTTTAGTTTCATGCTGTGCATCATGCAGCACCATAGTGTTGACATGATGTAGCTACCTGTTGGAGTGCAGTGTTTTTTTTGTGTACTACAGTTAGATCACTAAAGCATTGATAATGCGTTACCAAGATAGGTTAATGGGAAGTCAACCTCCACTGGTAAAGCATCGGAGTATAGCTTGAAAGATGTGAGTGATACGGCCTATTACTGGCTTCTGATTAGTATTCACCAGCTATTTTTAACCCAAATTTAGCCAATATACAGTAGGGTTAAATTAGCATGCATTATTTTTCTGATTTCAATTGATGAAAATATTATTTCTGTTCAGTACAGGCTTTGTTGCATGGGCCAGCACACACCTCCCCTGCATAGGTAAACATGAACGGTTGCTTGAGGGACCTGGCATTTAGCACAGGTGCCAAAGATTGGCCTGCATGTCTGATTGCCTTCTGCTGACCATAGTCAGTTGAAGGCTGGCTTTGTTCTCCACGTCACAATTGAACGTCATTGAAGAGCTTAATGAGGTCAACAGGACACCATAGAGTGGATTTCGTTTCTTTGCACCGATCTCTTGAATTCTTTTGTAGATCTGTTTGTAAAACGTTTTTATGAGGTAAAGCAATAAGCTAAGCCTCCGCTATTATCTAAGGAAGGTTTCCTTTTCTTTTAAGAAACAATTCTACTTTGCCAAATGTCATGCAGTTAATATTGTAGAATGTAGCAACAGATGAGAATGAAATCCACTTTCCCTTGGCCAAGTTGGCTGTATTAACTCAAGATTGTCTGATGTTGCTGCATATTCTAAACACTCAGAACTGCCAGTTCACGACAAGAACATTTCTGCTTATTCTGCTCGTATGGTTTGACTGTTGATATTTTTTTTAAATAAAATGATTCTCTGTGTTTTAATGGAACAAAAAAACCCATAAACATTGATGCCTTTTAAACTTTGTAGTTGGTATAGCAAGTGGTACATCCAGTAATCATAACAGGTGTTACAAACTTTGACATTCATCTACATATTTCCAGTACACCTAATAGATAGGATTTTGAAACATTATATTTCCAGCAATGATAAGAGGCTGTGCAGTTTAGCTTTAGCATTACATAACTTAATTGTCTTAAAGGGGTTTTTCCTCACATTGTAAAGAGACCCTCTCATTTCCAGTTGAGTCTACAAGACAAGTGGAGGTTAATCTTCCTAATGAGACAGAGATTGCAAAAAAAGACAGCTTTAGCCCTTCGCTAGTCTATCCAACAGGATTTTTTTTTATTTATAAAGTTTTGACTTCAAATGTAAGTTGTCAGGTCATTCAACCCAGACTTCAACTACTGCAGTCTGTTGCATATGTGGTCCTAAGTCCATTCCTGCTGAGCTCTTAACCTTTTGTTGCTTGTGTGTCATGGCTGGTGCAGAATGTGTCACTTTAAATGTGTAGGGGAAATGTATGAACTATTGCTCCTGGAAGACAAAATGCTCATCCTTATCCATTTTATTTTAATGGGGGCTAGTTTGCTTCTTTAAAAAAGCAAATTAAACTAGTCATCCTAAAGCTGGCAATACACCTTACGATTATCGTACAAAACTTTTCGTCCGATGATCGAACCGTCGTACGGCGGTTCCATCATGCCCCGATTTATCGCAAAGGTTCAATTAGCCGTAATTAAAGAAAAGCACCTGGACGAATTGCGGTAATCGACTGCACGTATTTTCGTTTGCGCATGAACAGTGTAGATCGTACAATTTTTGATGTATGGAAACGCCACTAACCTTGCGAAAATCGTACGATCGACCAAAGTTTTCAAACCTGCTTGAAAGTCAAAAGTCGTATGATTGTACAGTATTTGCGGTTGTACACTGCCCATCAACCTTGCGATTATCGGACGAAAACACAATCGGAAGGGTGGCATTTAAGCAAACCTGTAGCTTTGACCTTAATGAGTAAATCACAAGTTTGCTTTAATGCAGAATATTGATCATAAATTTCCATTTTGTCTTTGCTTGCCTTGATAAATGTTCAAAGCTTTATAGATGGAAAATCATTTTAGACTCCTTTTAAAATCGGCCCAATTTTGGTTTTATTAGATACAAAGAGATTAAGGTGTAAGGTTAACCTTTTTGTTTATTATAAGCCATGATGTACACTATAGTAGCTTTTAGTCATGGTGAATTGTGTAATGCTGCCAAGTCATCACTTCATAAAACACAGCTCCTCTTTGTCTTCTGTGTTGGGTTAGGTCATGTTTTGTTTAGAAAGGTTAATGGTCCCTTTGCCTCTGCTGTATGCATGTTTTGTTTGGCACTTCCAGTTCACATTGGCCTTTATGGTACGCTGGATTTGGCATTCGGAGTGCTTGCAGTCATCACCAAGCTCTGTGCATTCTTGCCTGTATTTGTTTACTTTGCAGAAGAATTGCTGGAATTTTTAGGGCAAAGAAAGTTCTCATCCCTGGCATGTTTTATATGGGAATGGATTGCTTTAATTATAGCGTATTGAACTTTACGAATGTGTTAGGATGAATTGGCCATAGATATCATGACCTCAATCTTTTTTTCAAATGCTTTGACTCAACCATGGCATTTTTGATTTGGTTAAATTGTTTTCTACTGGGTCTAAGCTCTCGTTTATCTGATGACATTTGTATTCTGTTTTGTGGTGTATTGTTACAGTTTAACATGGACACTGTTGGGGATTAGGTCTAAAAGTCAAAATCTAAACTCAAAAGAAAAAAAAATGTATATGTTGCAGATTACCATTCTTGGGGTAGGTTCAGATCTGAGCGATCCCGGGACGTACAATTGTCTTTGTATGCACACTGTGGTTGATGCGCGGCGCCGTTAATTTCAATGGGGCTAAATCCGCGCAGCAGTCGCTGAAAAATGGTACATGACGCGTGGCTTTTTTCCTTCTTTTTTTTTGTAGCTGTGATTGTGTTCAATTGCACAGGCGGAATCGCAGCGGGAAACCATGCGATCCGCCTGGTGTGACTGAGGTGCCTTTAGAAAATAATGGCACCGCCATCGGCTGTGGTGGGTGGCTCCGTGACCGCTCGGCAATCCGTGTGGTTTCCTGCACGATTGCCGCACAGTCACAGATTGCGCAAGTGTGAACCTAGCCTTAAATGCAGCATCTGGCAAAAGTGGCAGATGGGTTAAGACAAACCATTTAACACTGACGGGTGCTTACAGTGGTCAGTCCACCTGACTCTGATAGTAAATCTGGTAGTCTAACACCAGAGCTTGACAAATTTGCTTTGAATCAAGGAGCCAACTAAAGGTAGGAGCCAGTTTTTTTTTTTGGTAAACGAAGTTTAAAGATTTTATACTTAACGACAGTTGCAATTTTCAGTTAGTTTTAATTGGCACACGTGGTGATACCTGACATATGTAGCGCAATTGTCGTTTTTGTACATAGGTGCACCGAGCGACTTCTGTTTCCGTTAGTATATGCGTGTTCACTGGGGACACTATATTTTTGTTTTGATATTTATTTTTATTTAACTTTATTTAAATAAAATGTTATAAAATATTATATAAAAAATATTTTATTTTCATTTAACTTTATTTTTAACTTCCTTGCTATCACATGGGTGGGGGGAAGGGGGGGTTCACAAACCCCCTATGTGATAGCACATTGGAGATGACCGATTCTCTTTAAGGTGACATTAGGGGGTCTATTAGTGTCACCTTTCCACCCCTAGTGTCACCTTTCCACTTCAATAACTTTAGCTGGGGAATGACAGCTGCCTGCTGAGGCTGCTAAATGTAAACACTACAGGCAGTGCGTGGGAGCGATAGCCAGCCTGCTATTGGCTATTTCAAATTGCTATAGCCAATAGCAGGCTGGGTATTGCACCCGCCCAATGCCTGCTGTCAGTCAGCAAAGGGACCTGAAGGAGAAAGTTACTCCCAGCCACTGCTTTTGTGTTTTACATTCACCTGCCTAATGCAGCCATCACATCTAAAGATTGGTAAGCTACAATATTTTTTTTTCTTTGCTTTTGGGTAGGGCTGCAACAACCAAGTCGATTAATCGATGATGGAATACGTCAATTGCTCTATAGCTGGTGGTATTCTGCATTGCGCTGTATAATGTATTATTGCTGGGATTTATAGTCCTCTATAGCCGGTGCCATTCTGCATTGATTGCTGTATAATTTTACATTTTGTATTTCATTATATTGCACACCATACTTTTTTCTTTGTTTTTCTTTCTTGCACCACTCCAAGCTTGCTCCTGTGATGGACTACAATCTCAATACAAACTAGTAATCCATCACTGGAGCCATTTATTTTTTTTAAATCCAATTAATCAAACTTAATCGGCTAACTAATCGATTTTGAATATAATCGTTAGCTGCAGCCCTACTTTTGGGTTTGGATATGCTTTTAGTATTACTGTAATGTATTGTTTTATATTTTAGTTCTAATCTAATACTAGGCATTATGTGAAGCTTGTTGGCTTAGCGGAGTCCCAGCGGCTCTTACTGGCAGGTCTCCCAAAACATTAAGAGATCTGTTCCGATCAACCTGTGTCCTGGACAGAAATATTAGACAATTACTTTTTTGCATGCAGTGAAATCTGTAACATTTGGGTATTGCCTACACCAATGTATAGATATAATAATAATAGGCCAATAAAGATTTCTTCTGAAACCACCTATTCTGTCGTATCCCATATGATGTGTTCAGGGTTTTCCATGTGATCACATAGAGCTGTACTCTATTAATTTTATCAGGTGATACCAGTTTATTGAAATAAGTCATAGGCCTTTAATACACATCACACGATCAAAATGTGTTTTTTGCCGTTTAAAATTTACAACACTTATAATTTGATATTGTTAATAAATGAGAGATATAAAAAAGTGTCTTTCCTCCTTCAGCTGCAAGGTATGCGTATGCATTGTACATGGCATGTGAATGTTAAAGTCTAATATTTTCAAGATGGAAGGTTATTCCCATGTTTGGGCCATGATAGTATAGTCATTATCATGACTAGTTGGCACCTCCTGTGTGCATCTCATTTGGTATTGTGTTTTATCTAAGAGCCCTATCTGTATTCCCCTTTCACTCAGAACATCATGATGATACATTACTTCTAAGCACAGTAATGTAGTGTGTTTACACTATAAAGCTCTACAGCCAAGAAAAGCTCCAATTCTCCTCTTGATTAGCTTGGCCATTGCTGGAGCTGTTGGAGATCTTTAAGTCGTCATGCTATTTATGTAAATGAAGATGGGAACAGCTGTGCAACAAATAGATTTGAAGAGTCTTCCGACAAGTCCCCTGTGATGTTCTTGACCACATCACACGTGCCTCCTCCGTACTTTCCAAATCTTTGTTTGTCCTGTTTAGCTCTGATTCATTATCTCGCCTTGTGTTACTCATTATTGTGACATATCCCCTGGCTTCTTTTTGCTGACCACCTGCCCAGTATTAAGAAACACAATTTCCTTTCTCCACCTACAAATAACAGATGGGGCTCGAGAAGGAGAGCTGACAAGGGCTAGATAATATACCAAACTGCTTTTCAGACTTACTGTAGATCTTGGTAGGAAAATTGAGGCTTAAATTATAAAGAACATTTAGGTTAGGGGTTACAATAGTAATTGCACTTAAACCAGTAACAAAAATGTATTTTGCAGCGTATCAGTCTTTAGAAGTAGCGGCTGCATAAGGGTTTTTTGTTTTTTTTTTAGGCCTAGATTTGTCACCCGAGGAAGTATTAGAACTACAAATCTTTCCCCACTCCCCATCTCCATAACATAGTGGAGAGGTGTTGGTGAACTGAACAAGGCTGAAAATAGTGTTTGAGATAACCTTGCCAAGTCGCACAGGATAGTACAGGCTTTTTGGCAGGACCAACAGGTATTGTTACTCAAAGAACATAAATAACATAACCTTGTTTAATGATATATTTAACAGACCAAAATGGAACCAATAATAGAATTCACTGTTAAGGTGCCCATACACCTTACAATCATCGCAAGACTTTTGTCTTGCGATGGTTGTAAGCTAATTAAAAGCTAGTACGATCTGCCCGTCTTGGACAGGCAGATCGTACTTGCGATCAGGTTTACATATACCTTTTAAGCTGCCTATGAAATGCTTATTGACGATAAATCTGTGGAAGGTATATTTCAAATGTGAAGAAGAAACAAACATTTTTATATTAATGGACTTTGCAGGTCTCATTAGTTGGACATCCAGCTGTAGGCTTATTTTAGGAGCCAGAAGTAGCAAGGCAGCTAGCATTTTCAGAAGGTGAACAATATTGCAACTTGCGTGTTGCACTAAGCAAGGTATTTTTAAATGCTTTGTGAGTTACAAGGCCCAGTTTATAGACATGATTACACTGAGTGTTTCCTAACAATTTTTCAGTCATGGCACCCTTTGAAATCTTGAGGCACCCCAATCTACCTTGTAAAAATGGTGTCGTCCCTCCAATCCATACCAGACTGTTAATTCAAGCTATGCAAAAACAAAACAACAAAGGTCTTGTCCCCCCTTCACGTCAGTGTCCTTCACGTCAGTCCTACCATCACATCAAGAGCTGCAGCTATGGCAGAGAGTAGGAATCAATGCAGGCCTGGACAGGGGCAAAAATTAATTCTTTAGTGAATGGGCCCCGCCCTCCCTGGATTAGTGGTTGGCCTGCCTACACCATGGGAAGGCATGATGCTGTGTGAAAATTTTGATGCACCCCTGAGGAAGCTAGTAGGCACCCTGGTTGAGAAAGGTTCCTCTGATCTGACTTTTGTACTTGCATGCTTGTTCTCTAATTCTGAAACCTTGAAGCCTGGCACAGTCAAGCAACTATCTAAATAGTAATATTTTGAATAATGCTTCTTGAATGATTAATGTTGACATGTGCTAGAAAATTTACGTGTCCAGTTAGTTTTATGTTGACTGAAACTGACCTGCAGATATGACAAAGCACCATCAGTCACTTGTACAGCAGCTCTAAAAATAGGAGATATGCCACAACTACTTGCCAATCAGGCTCTGCTGCAGTGCACACGTGCCAATCATAAAAACACTGACCGAAGCGGAGAGCCAAGTTAGCAAAAGGATAATGTCATCACCTACTTTGTCAAATTGGTAGGTTAGGATTTTTTTTTTGCCAAACTGTAGCTGTTGCTGCCAAGGACCTGGCTATACTTTTCTATTAGGTTGCCTAGATCACAAAACTCTCTGCTCAGAAATAAATCTAGATTTCAAAATTGTATTTAGCTTTTTGGCTGGATTTGTGCTTTAAAATAATTTTCAAGTTTAGGTTTACATTTTGTCAATGTTTCTTCTAACAGGTCATGGGGAACTCATATGCAGGGCAGCTGAAATCTGCCCAGTTTGAGGAAGCTCTTCACAATTCAATAGAAGCCTCCCTAAGATGTAACAGTGTAGTTCCACGGCCAGTGTTCTCACAGCTTTATCTTAATGCAGACAATTCCACATTCACTCCAGACGGTAAGTAACATGGAAGATTTCCGCTACACAATAGTTTATTTACTAGCATGAAAAGCATTACTAATATTGTCTAATTTGGAATCATATCACAAGAGATTATTAGCAGCATTTGAAAAAGTGTGTCCCTGTAGGGTCACAAGGACAGGAAATGAGGGCCAATATCCCCTGTAAGGTGAACAGTTAACTCTAAATACCTGATGGTGTGTAATCATTACTATTGAACAACCAAAACCCAAATAATAGTTGAGCGTTATATATTTGTTAATGCATATAAACCATTTCTATTCTTACTAAATTATTAATATACATGATATGATGGCATAAGTTATTGCATTAGCACACACACTATTGTTCATGGCAATGCCTTACATAACCCCAGTTATACAATAGCCATGTATACAAGCCATGATCAAAGTCACAACTTTTACCTAGATGGAACAAACCTTGCCTTTTTAAGGTGTGTTCCTTTGTTTCCTTGTTCATTGTTTTTCTTCATCATAAGGTGTTGATGTAAAGCCAAAACTAGAGGAACTGGATAAGGATTTTGCCCAGCGGTACACTCAGAATGGCAGCCTGGATTTCTCTAACAGCCAGACAGTGTGTGAAATGGACGACGGCGATGATGATGTTGACGATCTGTCTGATTCGAATAGTCCTCCATTGCCCTACACGCAGAAGCCACCTCCAGAGGGCTCTTGCACTGTAGATGGTAAGGTCCTGCCTATAAGATCACTTGCTTTTGAATGCTGAAATCTTTCTGCAACCCGAGATTTATAAAACCCAACTGTTTCTAATGCTTGCCCACTTTATCCAGAAGTAAGAAAATTTTAATTTGGCTTTAATTTCACTGTGTTTTCACAGTTTGAACTGTGGCCAAGTTCAAACTGTGTGTGCCCCAAACCCCCCTCCCCGCCCATTTTTTCTGTATACTTTTGTCAAAGGAGCTGGTCCAAACATGTTAAGCCAAATAGTGACTGTAATTAGTGGCAGTACCTGTTTGGGTATTCTGATAGCTGCTGTCAGAATACAATAGCCCAGCAGGGGGATTTCCCCATCCATGCTGTTAGTGTGGATGGTGGAATCCAGAGTTTTGTTGTCATTGAGCAACCACAGGGCTGAATGGGAAAATACTAACAGTGTATGGCCAGCTAAAAGGGTAGCTTCACTTTTGCAGTCAAATTTGGGAAAACTCCACTATGTGTGTTCCCATTCACACAGCATACCTTATATTATTTTTTTAAGAATATATTTCTTACCTTTTAACCTCTTGCCGTCCGCCCGTAGTAAAAAAACGGACGGACGGCACTGCTACATCTGCGGGTTGCCGTCTCCAGACGGCAATTTTTTTCTGCTCGCGCGCGCCCCCTAGCGGGCACGCACGGGCAGAAAAGACCCGACCATTGCACACACCCGTTACCGGGTGAGTAGACTGATGGCCAGACTGAGCTTCCTCTTATTGGCATACAATACCTCAAGTCTTTAAGACAGGGTTAATTAGAGTAAACATAACTGTGAACAGCCCCCTCCTTACCATTACATCAGGAGGCACCAGGTAGGATTTCTTATCAATCACTTGAAAAAAATGTAAGCAGCAGTTGGTATAAAGTTATATTATGTGAATAGGAACATGTAACAAATATAAAATAGGTGTTATCCCAATTTAGCTGCAAAAGTGGAATTACACTTTAAGTTGCTTTTTGTTTTAGGATTTGCACCCCATAGAGTGCAATGCACTTGTGGCATGCTTTATTCTGTGCATTGTGTGTTGAAGGATAACTTCCCTAAGCAGGATTTGCCTTTTATACTAGTGTCATAACACAAGTGCAGTAAAGTTTTAAGAAAAAAAAGTGATTTATATTCAGTTCCCATGCGTCTAATGGTTAGGAATTTGGAATGTCAACAACCCATGTGTATTCCATCTTCCTGCTGAGCTGGTCTGAACCAGATAATCCTTTGCTTCCATAGTGCAGTTGGAAGTTTCCTTTATTCTGAATAAGTAACTGTTGTCAGCATGAGTTGAGGGGGCAGACACAGCACTTTGCAGGATGTCGGGTGTTAAGTTGCATATTGGCTTTTCTTATACTGATAGCATAAGTAGATAATGGGTGTGGATGTTTTTAAAAAACTACTTGTCCATGGACTAAAAGGGGGGCCCAATCTATTTATCCCTCATGACTATGTACTTGTCGTGATACAAAAACTAATTTTAACTAAAACCGTATTTAATCCTGCTAAGAAACACTTCTCAGTGGTCAGTCAGGTGACTACACTGACCAATAAGTTCTCGCAATTTGCGAGTGAAATGAAAAATCCATAGACCAGGGCTGCGCTGGACGGCAGTACAGGGTAGGGATAGTACACCTGTATCGGCAGAAGGGAAGGACCTTTTGCCACTAAGTATAGGAGGGGAGGAGAAGGGGGTAAGGGTTGAGTGGGTTATTCCATTTTCCCAAATTACTTGGGAAAGTGAACTTGCCTTTTAATGTACGTTGTGTGTGTTAGAGAGCGCGGCTGCCCGGCTACCACAATATGGCACACAGTGGAATGGGGGCAGCACTCGCACACAATGCCCTACATTCGCATTCAGGTTTTTTATCTTTTTTTTTTTTAAATCTTTTTTTTTAACTCACTTTTTTCACTTAACTTTATTGCTATCACACAAGGGCAAAAGCCCCTATGTGATGGCGTTTGGAGGTGATAGGTTCTCTTAATGGAGCCTGTCCTCCAATACTGAAGAACGAGCACAGCTTTGTGCTCAATCTCCTGTGCAGCCTTGCTTGTGATAGCTGACAAAGGAAGTGTTGAGTACAGCGCTCCTTTCTCACTGCTCACACGGAGCAGATTGGAGACCAGACATTCTCCGGTCTGCTCCCCCCTCTCCATCCTAAAGTCAAGCCATGATACCGGTCTCCCAGAAGAGCGGGGGATCCCAAAAACCATGGCGGGGGTACAAGGAGGCTGCTACAAGTGATCTGGGCAGCTATTTTGTATCACTTGTACAAAACAAGTGGTGGCTTCCCCGCTCTACATTTAGCCCTGCTTGCCCACAGCAGGGCCAAATATAGAGGGGAAGAAAACACCTGCCTGGCGCCTGAAACTTTATGTCCTGGATGTCAAGCAATAGGAATCATGCACCCCTGTAGGTAAGTGTTAGTTTTATCTTCAAGTCAGTTTATTTTGCACTATTATAGGTAATATACTGTACTTTATCTGAATAAAGTAGCGCTTTAACCCTAACTGAAATAAAACATTTTGCTTGCTTAAGCACTGTGTAGCATTAACAATTGCCATGTTTTGATTATTTTTTTTATCCCACAAAATACTGTTTCCAACTTTTTTTTATATCATATATATCACTTTAGTGCTGCTGATCTTTTTCAGCCTCTTCCAGTCACTCCCTGGTCTAATGCAATGCACCAGAGTCGAAAGCACATCATTGCTGAGGATCAGCTTCCTGATGGTGGCAACAGTGAAGCATTCCAGTGCCATGCGTGTCAGCATGGCCGCTTGTAGGCTCAACAAGGGGTGTATGTGATAGGATGACAATACAGGAACACAATTTATAGACAGTTGTCACCCCTTAACAAAAAAGTGCCTGAACAAAGGACCTACATGGCAGATCGCCAGGTATTTAATAAAAACTGCAGATTTAAATTAGGAAACAACTTTTAAATGACATTAACATGTTGAAGCTTATGTACGCTTTAGCAATTGGGTTTCGATCTACTTTAATATTCTGCCTGCGAAGAAAACCCTTTTTTACATTTTAATATTTTTCTCAATTTCCTTAATTTTTAGTGTATGTATGGGAAAAATAAAAATGTTAATAAAAAAAAACTGTACGTACATTTGTCTCCTTTAGAGGCTCTGCAAGTACAGAAAGATACCTGTTGATCCTGCCAGAAATCCAGTGAGCTGCTACTTTCTGGAGCTGACAGGTCTGCATCTGTTGCACTAAAATCCCAAGCAGTGTTGCCATCCCTGCCAGAGCTCTCCCTTGCTGGATCACAGAGCCATGTCCCCTTATGTCATGGAGATGAGGGTTGGAGGTATTCTGTAGTCCAGCACAAGAGAATTGAGCAGGGCACCACTTGGTGGTGTTGGTGCATCTGAAGCACTATGTTGGATAAACAGGAATTTATGAGCACACTAGATTTGTGGCAGATCAACAGGATTATTTCTGTATGTGGAGCATTTTCAAAGATCTAAAACCTGGGGAAATGCGCATGCATTGCAGAGATTTAAAGGATGATTCTTATGTTTTGCCCAGATGTACACTTTTTTGAATTTCCTAGTTAGAGGACAGTTGTCATAGAGCTATTCTGATTCATTTCAGGGTTCTGCCAAGCAGGGAAAGACTTGCGATTGGTGTCGCTCTGCAAAGAACAGGTTGAGGTTCCATCAGGATTTCTATTAGTCGGAGTGAAGAATCCATCTCTCCCAGATCACATACTTGTCTGTGCAGTAGATAAAAGGTTTCTTCCTGATGATGATGGCAAAAATGCACTTTTAGGTACGTGTGGCTGAGGTGTAGTTGCTACAATGTGACATAGACATCTGTTTTTTTATAACCTTGAGGAAAGAAAAATTGAGGTGTTGTCCACAATTTAATACGTGTTGTTAAAACTTTATCCTCGTACTTTTAAATATGAAAAGGTTGACCATACAACACCTTGATCCTGTAGATCCAAGTGCAATAACTGTACATTACTTAGCGGTATTTTGTGAAATGATTGAAACAAGTATTGGCTGTATATGACACGGGCCCATAACAAAATCATAGTCCATTACAGCTTCTGTGTAAAAGTGATCCCATCAGCCATTTTTTACTACTAAAAGTGGAGAAAATGCCACTGATGAGGCGTTGGCTAAAATTCTTCTGAATTGGATGCTACAAATTCTAGATCAAAATTGCAAAATCACAAAAACTACTTTTCACAATCCTAATTCAACCAGCAATTTTATAATATACAGATTACAAGAT